AGGGAAAAGGAAAGAAAAATAATCTACAAAGACATGGAATTCTTCATAGTATTTATCCCTCCGCTCCCATTTACTGAACCATTTCTTTAGGTATGGAATCATATACTGGTATTCTACAGTGGGGAACAAAGACTAAGCTATGAGGATCAAATTGCTGTAGCTCTGACAACTGGGAGCTCTTTCATACTGGCTTCCCTAACCCTTTGGCATGGACTCATCTCTCTGTTTCTGTAAGCACTTAAACTTCTTTGGAGTGCTGCTCTTTTTACTGGAGAGTGGTATCTAGAAACCAAGACTTGAACACTGGGTGTACTCACTGCTACTGGAGTTTCCTAGCCCACTCAGCAGTTAAGAGCTGAGACATGTGTATGTGTACATGCAACGATGCATAGATAAAATGATATAACTATTCCTGTACAATTTTAAACTAAATGAGCCCACAACAGTATCTTGAACTCTGCTCCACTACTCTGTGGTTAATGAGTAATCCCAGAATAAGCTTCCTCCTATTACCTAAATTTCTAGTATTAGTCACACTGAAATAGGAAAGTAAAATACATTTCAAAATGGAATTTCATGACAGATCATCCTCACTACCTGGAATACATAACAGTACAAGATCAAGAAAATTATTTTAATACTTCCTACACAACTGTACTTTTTAAAGCAGGTTCTATTATTACAACAAATTTTTTTCTAAAAAGCCACATTCTTTTAAATGAAAACAGTAAGAAGCCAAAGTCATGGTTCACTACAGTCTATTAATATGCAATTTTAAGGTGGAAAAGGCAGAAAAATTATATGATCTGCCCACCATCACACTAATAAAGGGCAAAACTGGAACTTGACTGCATTTAGACCCAGTGATTCTGACTTCAACTGCCATAGTAGCTACTACTTTTTAAATAAAAAGTGAATTCATTAAAAAAAAATAACGTGACCTCTCAAAAATTTAATTCTCTACTGTAGCTTTTCTCCATTGTTATCAGAGATAAAATGTACTTACATAAAGTATAGTACCTTCTCTGAAATTAACAAAGTAAAGCATATGTTTGTCTTAGTTACTTTTCTCTTTGCTGAGACAAAATACCCAACACTCAAAGTTAAAGAGGAAAAGGTTTATTTGGCTTACAATTCAAAGAGGTTTCAGTCCATAGTCAGCTGGCTCCAAGGTAGAGTGGCATGGCAGACAGGCGTCATAGGATAAATAGTCCATGGCAAAGCAGGGTAGGCACAAGCAGCAAGCAGCAAGCAAGTGACAAGGGACAAGCAAGGAACAGTGATCCTCTTTCTGTCTCTTATATCTTATCCAGGCTATCTAGTAGCACTCACACCCAGGAAAGGATAGCCTTAATCCTACCTAGAACTAAACCAAACCAATCAATGGACTTATTTAGTAATTATACACCTTTGATCCCAGTATCACACACTTAATCCAAGTGTCACATACTCTAGATCCAGCCACCTCTGAAAAGTCCCAACTATGATCTCATGAGGCTTTGATGGGGACATCTAGACATGAGCCATAACATTCTGCCTCTAGCGGCCCCCAAACACTCATGCAAAAGATATTTAGTCCATCTCCAAGAGTTGCCAAAGTCTTAATAGTTTCAGCCTGGCTGCTGAGAAGTCCAAATATAAAGCCTCTTCTGAGATTGAAGGCCAACTCTTAGCTGTGAACCACTGTATAAATTAAAAGAAAGTCAAACACTTCCAACATACAATGACATGAGACAGATATTTCTATTCCAAAAGTCACAAACAGGAGGATAAATGAAATGGGAACAAAGCAAGAAGACCAAAATCCAGTGGGGCAAACACTAAAACCTACAGTTCCAGGGCCAAGGATTTAGCTCAGTGGTTCCACCCCCTGCCTCGCAAGCACAGGGGCCCAAGTTCAATCCCCAGTACCAAAAAACACACACACACACACACACACACACACACACACACACACACACAAAAAAAACATTTTTTAAAACACACACACACACACACACACACACACACACACACACACACACACACACACAAAAACCCTACAGTTCTACATCCAGCATTCCTGGCAATCTGGGGCAAGTTGTGAACTCCGAAGAGCTTGGGTGGCTCCACCCTTATGGCACTGCCTATAGCTGCAGTACCCACAGCTTCACTCTCGGGCCAGCTCCGCTCCCTTCTTGCAGTTTTCTTCAGATGACCCAGCACATTCCCGGCTTCTCCAAACTTTTGGTGTCTCCACTCCACAGTCACTTTCACTCTTACAACTTCACATGCTGCCTTCTCAGAAGCACACTGCCTGGCCTCTCAGACATTCTTCTGAAATCTGGGTGGAAGCCTTCCTAACCCCACAACTCTTGCATTCTGCATATACCTAAAACTAGCACCACATGGAGTATGCCATGATCTGCTGCCAGCTGGAGCAGTGGCCAAGCTTCCTTCTCTCTTGGCTATGGGGGTCAAAGTGCCTATGAACCAAATCCAGAGGAACAACTTCCCTAGGACACTGTTATTTTGGAACACAATGCTCTGGGGGCTCTCTTCTCAAAACAAAGTCTGTCATTTTTACAATTTTGAGGCCGCAAAGGATGGTGTCCTACTGGCTCTTGTGATATCCTCAGGCTATCTTTTCTACTGTGCTCTTCTGAAATACTTGGCTTTTTCTTGCTAGTCTTTTCATTGACTAATTTCTCCTCTGTTGATCTTTGCAGGCCACAACTTTACTGGAGCTTCCTTTCTGCCCAAACTCAAAACATTTTAAATCTTTCTGCTGGGCTCTTTGCTCTTCAGTCTCAATATAAATCTGGCTAAAAGCCCCAGACAGTAGCTATGCCACAGCCTCAACATTAGACTGTCTTGAAATTTTTTCTGCCAGATTAATTAATCTGCTGCCCAGTCTCAGGCAAAGTCTCTGGATATGAGTAAAATGCAGACCAACTTTCTACCCAGAGAAAACACACATCACATGGAGTCTAACAGCCAATGCAGTCCTTCCCAGAAGAAACCTTCTGAGCATGGTCTTTACCAGTAGTATTTCTGGCAGCAAACTGGTCTTCTGATCTCTGACCAGAGTCTCCCATCAAATACCGCTTAAGGCATTCCATGTCTGCTTCTTCAGACAGCACTGCCACACCTTTCCAAGCTCTTCCTACAAACCAGTTCCAAAGGCTCCTGAATCACATGGTCAGGAACAGTCACAGCAACAACCTCACTCCTACTACCAAATTCTGTCGTAATTACTTTTCTTTTGTTGTTGCGATAAAATACCCAACATCCAAAGTTAAGGGAGGAAAGGTTTATTTAGCTCATTTGTAAAGGTTTCAGTTCATAGTTGGCTGGCTTCAACTATGAATGGCACTATAGAGGAGAAATAGTTCGTGACAAGCAGAAAACAAAGTAGTGAAGAAGCAAAGCAGCAAGTGACAAGTGACAACACTACCACAATTTCTTTCCTTATATTTTACACCCAGGGTGGGACACCCTTAATCCTATGCAGAACACCATGCCAGACCAATCAGTGGACTAACTCAGTAATCACACACCCTTGATCCCAGCATCACACACTCTAGATCCAGCCACCTCTGAAAAGATGACCCATCTATGGCCACGTGAAGCTTTGAAGGAATATCTAGACATAAGCCATAACAGGGTTCATATCTGAAAGCAAAACTACAATCAAAATACACAAATTAGGGCTGGGGATTTAGCTCTGGTTCCACTGCCTGCTTCACAAGCACAAGGCCCTGAGTTCCATCCCCGGTACCAAAAAAAAAACACAAATTATTCAGGAAACAAATATTAACTAAACAAACATGCATGCTGTACAATATTCTGCTCATCACTACTGTGTAAACTGGAAAAGCAAATGAGACTCAAATTCAAGCCCCCCCTAAACTCAATCTGATGAAGTTGAATATTAGAAAAATAAAATAAAAAATTACTACATGGCAAACAATACCACTGTTTTTGTACATAGGGAGGGGAAAGGGATAAAATAAAATTTATTAATATAAATCAATAATACAATATCACTGCATTTATAAGTGATATATAAATATACAGGCATTCTTTCCTCCTCTACCCAAACAACTGAGAATTTTATTACTTTGTAATTTATAGATTACTTTGAAATTTGTAGATTTAAGAGTCACTTCCTAACTTCCCCACCATCACCACCACATTGAGATTGAACCCTGGGCCTTTGCACTGTGATAGCCCATCTTTTTTTTTTTTTAGATAGGGTCTCAATAAGTTTCTAAATTGCCCAGGTTAAGCTGAACTTTCCATCCTTCTGACTCAGCCTCCCAGCGTGGTGGGATTACAGATGTGCAACACCTAACTCGGCAGATTTAAGAGCCTTAAAGACTGCTTTCTAGCAGAAATAATTAGAATATTTACTGAAAATGGATTGTGGTGGTTGAAGAGTAATTGTTACTTTGGTAGATAATTGCTGCAATGCTGAAACTTAAAAAGTATGATCTAACACACTCTGAGAAGTAACGAAGTATAATAAAAGACCTGCCAGGCAACATTCACAGACTTCAGATTCTAAGTCTCACTGGCTATCTGATAGTGGGCATCTAGATCATTTAACTTTTCCATCTAAATGTCATCATATTTTAAATGGGGATATTACCTACCCTACTTCACAAGATTATCATAGGCTCAAATGAGAATGTGTATCAAAAAACTACTTCATAAATTACAAAGTCTCACCCAAATACAAGCTATTTTTTTTATATTTCAAAGAAACTGGCAGATAGGTAGATACATAAACTAATGTACCAGGCAGACAGATACACATAAATACACTGTGATGTTATCTAGCACATACCAAGCAATAATTAAATCCATTATAGAATTATCTGGACCTCATTTTTCATAAATTCTAGGGTAAAAAAAATATCAAAAATAGTTCCATATATAGGATATGTACATATTTCTTAACATGTAAAGATAAATTCTATGAAGTAATGGCTAGAAATTTAACTGAAAATACTTACCTTAACAAAATTATCAGGGAACATTCCTCTTCTCCCATTTAGTTCTCCTTCCAGCCATCCTTCTTCTTGCAGTTTTTTCACATTCCTGATGATTTCTCCAACTCGAATAGTTAATTCATCATCATGTACAGCATCATAGTCATATTCCACAATATAGTCAACTGAAAAAGGAGGAAAAAAGTGTCTAAAATCAAATTCACAAAATACTATAAACCGTATTAATAAACTTAGAACTACAGGATCTGGTTAGCAACAATAGCTAATGCTCTATAAAGATATCATTAAGGCTTCTCTCAATTTTAAATACTTGGCTATATTAGCAACTTTCATTATCATAGAATATAGCACAGTACTCAATTTTTTTAAGTGGGCACCTCAAAAGAAACACAAAGCATAATTCATCCCTCCATATGTTCTTGGGGGAGACAGACTGTGAAGTGGTACCCATGACCTCACCCACCTCCATATTCATATCCTTGTGTAATTCTTGGAGTATGGATGTGACCTGTGACTGACTTATAAACAATAGGATATTGCAGAGATCAGGTACTGTGTGTTATTAGAGGGACTGCAATACCCACCTTGCTAGGTGGCCTCCCCTCTTTGCTGGCTTTGAAGATATTCCCTGCTGTATCTACAATCCACCTATAGAAGCAAGGACTACAAGCAAGCAAGGGAGGCAGATCCCTGCCCAACAAGAAATGAGTTTAAGGACTTGCTTGCTGTTTTTCTGGTATACTAGGAATTAAACCTGGGGCCTTCACACTAATCTAAATCCCCTAACCCTTTTTTTCTTTCCCCTTTTACATTTTAACAATAAGGGCCTCACTAAATCGCCCAGGCTAGGCTTAAATTTGCAATGCTCCTGTGCCTCTAAGCTAAGCTGCTCAGTAAGCTTTTTATTTATTATTTACTCACAAATGTGAGCAAACAATAGTTTATCATAAAAGTCCATGAAAAGCTGAAAAACTACTCTCAGAATAGGGAGTTGGAGCCCAAGCAGAGCAAGGGTAACAAATGATAGCAGAGATGGGAGACTGGTTCTCAATCAGGGTTACATCCAGAGAGATTGATTAAATCAGTAAATTATGTGGGGGGGTGACTATATATATATTTATATATATTTGGGGGGGACCAGGGATCGAACTCAGGACCTTGTGCTTGTGAGGCAGGCGCCAGAACCACTGGCCCTTCAGTAAATATATTAATGATGATGGGAGCCAAGTTTCCCTAAGTTGGAGATGAGAAACAAACAAACAAATACAAAAATACAGACAAATATAAAAGGAGAAATTCAGTCTGTGATACTGAATTATAATGAGAAGTATCAGCATGAATTCAGTTTTTAACATACTGAAGCAAACATATAAATGTCTGTATGTACACACAGACATACATACACATATTCATTCATATAACCTACACACAAATGCCTTAGCTTTGCCCACTGAATGAATCTGAATCAGTGACATGCCAAGGGCAATAACCAAACCTAATGACAAGATCTTATTGATGCCACTTTTTACAAAAAGAATTCAGGACTCTTTGGAGAAGTGGCCAGTCACGGGGTTAGGCAGGAAAAGTATAAGATAATCCTGGAACATTATGTTGTGGCAGGAAGCAAGAAAGGAAGTTCTCTGTGAAGTGCTATCAAACAGATACAGAAAAATGATTATCAAAAAGAGTGCCTGCTGATCAACTTAGAATAAGAACATTAAAATAATGAAATTAACAAAATACACCTCATTAAAGTAAGGATTCAGAAGAATACAATTTACTCAAGTAAAGTAAAAGTTCACAACAAGAATAAAATAATTCTAAAGCCAGGCTTGGTGGATCACAAGGGCAAAGCCAGAATGCACTACCATAGTCAGTTCAAGGCTAGCCTGAACGCCCCCCGAAAAAATGCTAGAAGATTCGCTGTGGGGATATTTTAAAAGTTCATCCACAAAAGAATGAAACTGAAACAAGAAGGCCTCAACTGGGCATAGCGGCACATGCCTGTATTCTCAGCACTCAGAAGGCTGAGGCAAAATGATTGCTTTCAATCAGACTGAGTTGAAGGCCAGCATGAACTATGTGGCAAGACCCTGTGACTTGTGAGAAAGAAAGACAGAAAGAAAGAAGGGGGAAGGGGGGAAGGAAAGGAAAACTTTTCATTAACAACATCAATTTCTAAAAAAGAAAAAGTCAATGAAGAACTGAAGAAAAATCAGTTCTTTACACTCTGCCAAATCAGTAGGCAAACACAGGGTTATAACATATTCATGTGAGCAAAGACAAGGAAAATTAACTTCTACACAAGATGCATGATATTATCTAGTAAAATAAAAACATGGGGGAAAAAAAGATATAATCCAAGAAACAGTGGAGCAATCCTGGAGAGCAAAATAAGAAATGCAAAAACAGCATTTGAGCAACAAATCTAAGAAACATTTCATGTTAAAAGGAGACAAAAAGCTTTGGGGTGTACATGAGGGCAAAGAAACAGACTGAAATTGTGTACTAACCTTACAAACTCAGAGGCAACAAAGCCAGGTAGGAGAGAAACATTAAAAATGTTGCAAATATAATCAAATACTTCACTGCACATTGAAAAATGTTGTAAATATAATCATATACTTCACTGCATATATCTACATGGTCGTAATATTACGGAAATTATTTTAATATTGACAACTTATAGCAAAACAAAAGTGCTTACTTGTTGGAAAAAAATTAAATTTTAGTCATTATGAAGGTTTAAAATCCTTTAAAAGGACTAGGAGAGTAGAATTAGCAAGCGTATGCCTAGAGGTATCACACAAATTGCCAAGCCAGAAATATAATATATTACTGGAAAAAGAAATAAATATGTATCTATTAGTGTGGTAAGGTATTCAACAGGGAACTGGACCAATGTTAATATAAAAGGAGAAAGATACAAAATTATAACTAAATCTTTACCTATCACACTAGCAAGATTTTTACCAGCAGAAACATACTTAGAAATATAAAAGTCAAAAGCCTTAAAACAATACACATATTTCCAAGTAGTTTCTCTCTAGAGAATACAGAGTAAAGAACAGTTCTGCACTGTAAATCATTCAAACATTTTTATACTGATAAATTTTTTTTACAAAAGCAGTAAATACTAAAGCAACTTGACCAATATCATGGCAAAGTGTTTATAACATATGATTTCATGTGCTATAATTAAGAACGTCAAAAAAAAAAAAACCCCACTGAGCTAAATAAAATCTTTTTCACTTCCCAGAGTAAAACACCATATGGTAAATATGGCTAAATTTTTTAAATCTCATTCATAATTAAGCTTATAATGATATTTAATTTAGAAGATTGTAAAACATGTACAGTAACACTTTTGTAAAAAGAAAAGAAACAAAAGTATACATAGAAAAAGAATCAGCACTCAGGAGACTGAGGCAGGAAGATGGCTATTGCTGCAAGTTTGAGGCCACCCCAAACCTCACAGTGAGTACAAGGCCAGCCTCAAATATCTAGCAAGACCCTGTCTCAAAAACAAGTCTCTAGAGCTGGGGATTTAGCTCAGTAGTGCTGCGCCTGCCTGCCTCGCAAGTGCTAGGTCCTAAGTTCGATCCCCAGTACCAAAAGAAAAAGTATCTAAAGAGCTATATTCAAAATGTTATCAAGTCCCCTGGTCAACTCAGCAATATCTTGTCTCAAAATTTTTTTTTTTTTTTGTTGATCTGCAAAGGCCCTGAGTTCAATACTCAATAGTGAAAGAAAGAAAAAGGGAAAAAATTTTGGCCATTTTTTCAGCCTCAAAGAATCTGAGATACTGTCATTATCTGCTTGTATTTCATGTACAATGTAAGAATTAACTTTATCTGAAAGAAAGGTTTGGACTTTGCCAAAGTTTTAATCTTCTAAAAATGTCCTGTATACCTGAGGATTTCAAGATGTGTTTGGACACTTTTACCTGGAAACCACATCAACAGCCCAACAGTGTGACTATGCAGGGATCTGGGGCAGTTTGTTATCCATTCTACCTCAAGAGGGGCTGGAAAGCCAAAGGTCAGCTACACAGGAAGTCAACTGTATCTCAGCTAAACAAACCCTGGACATGAGGCTCAGGCGAACAGTCCTGTGTGTGGTGCTACATCCTGTAGCAAGGAGGTAAGGGCTTCCCTGGGCCCACAGAGAGAATGGCTGGAAGCTTCACCCTGGGAACCTTCCTAGACTCTGCCCCATGCTTCACTGCCCTTGGATGATTTTAATCTGTCTTTTCACTTTAATAAACCATAATCAAAAGTATAACACATCTGTGAGTTCGTCTACCAAATTATCTGACATAAAGGTTGGCTGCAAGCCCCCAAACCTGTTGAGTGGTATCATTAGTGAGGGGCAGCCTTAAAAGTTACAAGCCCTACATTAGTACAGTCCTGCAATGAACATGTTGATTAGGTAAAAATAAATTATAAAAATGCCGATGCTATTCAGTATATAACAATTTACTGAAATGTTAAAACTGCTTAAAGAAAACCTTATTTAATTCGAGAGTTTGTTATACACCTAACATGTAGGCCACCATTTTAACAATCAACACCTCCACATTTTGGAAACTCACACAATTCATTCTATTAAAACTGGTAAACTCCCAAGAAAATTAAACAAGACCTTTCCACCGTTTAACAAAATTGTGTTTAACAGATTAAAAACATTTATATTTTTTAAAAATTTTAGTAGTTGCCCTAAAGTTTGCAATGTACATTTATAGCTAATCCTAAATTTACCTTTAAGTAACTCTGCAACATGATGGATTTTAGATACTATGAAGTATTTCCTCCATCTGTCCTTCATGACCTTCATTCATTTTTCCTGCCCATATACTACATGGACATCATTCACTTCTCTAATCCACATACTATATACATTCAATCCATTGTTACTGTTATCACTTTGAACCATTACTTCTTTAAATCAGTTAAGAACAAGGAAAACAAGATTTTGCCTTACTTTCAATTACTTTTATGCTCTTTCTTTATGTAGATTTGAGTTCCTGGTCTATTTTTCCTTTATTCTAAAGAACTTCAAGTTACTCTTTTTTCTTTCTTTCTTTTTGCATTGCTGGGGATAGAAGCCACCCCGTGCACATGTGCAAGTACACCCACCAATAACCTGCATCCCCAGCTTCTTT